TTTGAATACTTTTTATTGCAATCTGATTTTCTTTTGTGTAAATATGTTCCCACACACGAAAACACAGTGCAATGAAAGCCACATTTCTCTTTCATGCAATCATATCATTTACTTCAATTGTGTTCTTCTCTCCTCCTTAGATGGCTTTTTCACGATTAGCTTAAGAAGCGCTCAGTGTACTTTTGCATGTTTAATGAGCAAATCTTAGTGACTGTTGACTGAAATCAGAATTCACATGGGATCTCTTAAGAGCAGAGAATATGACTCATACCACCAACAGTTCATTTCTTTAAAATATGCCTTAGGAGGTCAAACCAGAGAGGTGCTGTGGCCTTGGCATGTGAGAAAACTAAATAGACCCACATTTTTCTGCTGGGATTACCACGAGGCCATGTTCTCACCACTGACTTTGGTTCAGGGAACAGTGCCTGGTTTTCTGCCCTATGACACTGTTGCTTACACTACCTTCCTATTTCAGCCGTAATAGTTCTTTGAACGTGAGGGAGAACAGTCATCCTCCCCTGGGCTCTCCTAGGGTTATGTTCACTGAGGAACATTCCATGGCAAAATTATAACTGGGGTCCAGTCTCACAGCTCTGTACATTAATGCACCATTTCTACAAGGCTAAGCCTTCCCAAGGGTGGCTGGGTAGACCAGGACTAAAGATCCAATACATAATATACGGGAGACCATTTTTTCCCTTCAATCCCCTCACTTGGTCCTGGGCCCAGCCTGCATGGGCTGTCACTTTCCCGTTCCAAGTTGATCTCAGTGGTCAGAGCCTTAGCTGCCTTTCTCTGCCACAGTACCGTGGTTAGGGAGAGCCCCTGTACTCTGCCAGACACGTTTCTATAACTCCAAATTTTAAAGAGAAATGTGGGATCTTGATTTCTTTTTCTTCTGAGGCCCCTGGGCAAATATACAGTTGTTCCCAGTTAATCCTCAATAACATTCAAGCACAGCACATAAATAATTTGCCATTAAAAAATTAAAGGTCTTCCTGCTCAAAAAAAAAAGAAAAGAAATTGGCATAGGAAAGAGCCAGCTCGTATTTCGTGACAATAGCATCTGTCACTTAGACTCACTTCCTGGGAGTAATGAACATGATAAAAGGGTTGGACTCAGTCTCTGTTCATTGACTAGTGCACCTATTAGGTGCAGATCCCAGTACTGTTACGTAAGTGAACAGATTCAGTAACTAAGGTTAGGCATTAGTTTCACAGGATACCTAGTGTTTGTGAAGTTCCAGAATTCATTATATCTGATATAGCATGGCAGGTAAATTGATAGGAAATTAATTGGAAGACAGTTCCAAACATAATAACTCAGTGGAAACATCCAGAATCAATTAATCAAACTGCAGCTCATTTTAATTGGACCCACTCTAACCTGAAAAGTCATTGGAATCTTTAATTAAGCTTTCAAGCTCAATACTATTTACATTGGCTGTGTTCTCCAGAATAGTTCTTCTTAAAATAAGAAGTTATTAACTTGAAACCTAATGGTAAAGCAAAAATCCTCAGCACATGTATGGCATGTATACGTATGTTTAATTAGACGTTTTTCCTGATAATTTGAAAATGTAGTTTAAAACTATTTGATTAAGGGGGTACGTGGGTGGCTCAGTCAGTTAAGTGTCTGCCTTGGGCTCAGGTCATGATCTCTGGGTCCTGGGATCAAGCCCCGCGTCGGGCTCCCTGCTCAGCAGGGAGTCTGCTTCTCCCTCTCTTTCTGCCCCCCTCTCCCTGATCATGCTTTCTCACATGTGCTCTCTCTCTTTCTCTCTGTCTCTCTCTCTCTCAAATAAATAAAATCTTTAAAAAAATAAACTATTTGATTAGGTAAATATTAACTCTTCACAAGTACACAATTCAGAAATCCTGTTTGCAAGGCTGGGTGTTGATTTTCTTCTCACTATTAGAAATACATGTATTTAGTACATATATGTGGGGGGTTTTTTCCTGTTAATATCCCCATCCTCTGACCTTCTTGTTCACCAGGTACCTATTTCTACCATTATAAACATCACGTGTTTCCCTGTCTAAATCTATTACTAGACCATGAGCTCTGTGAGGGCAAGATCAGTTGCAGATAGTTCCGTACCTCCCATGTCAGACACCATGACCAGCAAAGAGCTCCTACGTAGAGCTGGCAGAACTGAAACGCTGTTCAAACCAAAAATGATCTAAGGAATAGAAGAAAATGAAAATTACCTTTTTTGGCCATATTTTGGTGTGGAGACACAGTTTGCAATAAAAGGCCAACTGTAGGGTTTTGCCCTTTCCTGCCTCTAACTGATTGTGTTTATTTTAATATTTCCTCAGCTGTGTCCATGGGCTTGTCCCTGGAATTCTCATGCCTCTAGTTCCTCATCATCTAGAACAAAATAAAACAAATAAGAATAAACAAGCTGAGGCAGATGAAAAGGAATTGTATTCAGCTGTTGGACTCCCATGTTACTTAGTTATGATGTCACTGGCAAAAGGAGTTCAACTCCTAAAGCAGAGAGACTTGCTGCTTCAGAGTGACAAATGCTTAACAGACAATGATTTAACATTACTGTGTACTATAACCTATGTATCATGATTTAAAGTACTATAACATGAAATAAATGAAATACACCAGGAATCCACCCGTAATCCAGACTTCCCAGCACCGGACTCTCCTCCAGTGAGTTCCCGGGCCAAAGCTAAAAGCAAGGCTGTGGGCTTCCTTACCCAGCAAAGAAAATTCCAGCAAGGATGCTAAGAGAATTTGGTCAAAGACTTAACTCTGAGCTCTCAACATTCTATTGAGGTGAGTTAGCAGAGTGTGAGAATAGGGAGGTCTGAAGCTAAGGTGAGGAGCAGCTTTAATGTGGAAGGAAAAGAAGAGGAGTCCTAAGAATAAGGGGAGGAGAGAGACTTCAGGAATGGAAGGAGACAGAGTAAATGTAGGAGGAAGGAAACAAGAAGATTGTCAGCTATCCTGAGACTCTGGGATGAGATGAACTCCTTTATCCCTGCCATGCCCGCATAAACTGGAATTGGAATATGTCTGGCTCCATTGCATCCTGCATCTGGATTTATAAATAAAAATATGACTTCATTGTATGTGCGTCATAGAAGAGGCACAAATTATGTCAGCTGAAGCAATTTCGATATACAAATTTAAGTACAGGTGGTTGAATGGGGACCCTTATGTCTATGAATCTGAACTGTAAATACCACTAGTGAAATGAGTCCAAAATTCTTAGAAATTCTTTTGGTTTTCCCTTCATGGTATTTCATTATTCAAAAATATAGAATTAATGGATTCAGAAATATTCCTTGGGTTTTATCCTCATTCTCAGGCTTGAGGACCCAAACTACCCTGTGCGGCCAATAGTGTGTTCTCTCTCTGAAGCACCAAGCACCCAGCTCCCACCCCCATGGCATAATCCAGTTTCATGAGCCAGTGCATTAACTGATTATTAATAATCACTTATTAATGTCAATTGCTGATCAGTTAGTTATTATTATAAGTCGTTACTGCACAGCTCTTCTGTGTCAGGCACAGTTCTCTGTGCTAGGGTACAGGGTGATTGAAGCAGATATATGCTGATAATATACAAAGTCATTTGGTAAGATGTAAAACCTGGTAGAAGGTGAGCAAGACCTATGTAGGGTCTTTCTGGCCACCTCTTGGTTCTGAAGGTTAAAAAAAACCAAACCTGTTTAATCTTTGAGGATAAGGAGATGTTAACTGATGAAGGCTGGATGAGGAGCGTGCTAAGTGAAGTGGTCAAGGAGGGAGCCAGCATGTCCTAGGAAGAGGCAGTCTGTACACAGCAGGTGTAAGATCCTGGCCATGAGACCGCATCATGTGTTCAGCGACAAAGCTCCTTTTTAGAGGACCTGTGATCATCTAACGCCTCTGGGTAGAACCATCCAGACTGTTTAGATTAGAGGACTATTTTCCCACTTAAGTTCTGAGTATTACTTTATGGTGTTCCTGGACACCAGGTGAAGGGCCTCTTTGAGCTTACATTCTTATTAGGATCATGCTGATGAAATGTGGGGTCAAGGGACCACCTGAATAAGATCCTCCTGGGAGGTTTGTTGATTGTTTCGATTCACAGCCCTTATTTCTGGCCCACAGAATCCGTGTTTCTTGGAGCAAGGCTTTATTTTTAAGAAGGCTTCCATGTGACACTTATATTCCTTAAGGTTTAAGAGCCTCTCTCTGCCTTAGAAGAGCAGGGTCTGATTCCACTCAGACATTGTAAACCTCTTCAGGGGTCACTTGATAAGTCATATTGTCATGTATTAGCCAATAAATGCTACATCACTGTCTCTCCATCAACCCCCTGCCCCCAGTTTGAGAATCTTTCCAAGCTTGCATCAGACCACACTGGACCAGTATTTAGAAGAAATTCACTGGGAAGTATGCCAGACAAAAGCAAATAATCTCAGTTACCGTGTTTTTGATGGAAGAATAACGACCAAAGACCACAACAGTGCACAGTCGTTAGAAGAGCTCAAGGAGTCTTTCATAATTCTCAATAAATTAATACTGTACCAGCATCAGGATCAGGTTTCAATATAAAGAACGAGCCACACTGACCCACAAATACATGCTGATTTAAAATTGCAAAAAAAAAAGCTTCTACTTAAGACGATCAATCCATAAGATATAGCCTCATTTTGTTCTTTGAAAGAAACGAGAAAACAAAACAAAACAAAACACCTCTCTGGCTTACGTTTTGATAAATCATTTTTAGAAAACCAATATGTAACAAATTCAACCTTTGAAAAAAACTGAGTTCACGTTTTATCTTCTTGAAGTCTCTCAATAGTGTGTCACAATATTCAGCACAAAACACTGTGCTCCCCAAATTCCATAGACTCATCCCGTTTTGCCCATTCCTTGTAAGGCCACGGCTTCTGCCGTTCTCTGTGAGGCCCCAGTTTTACCTGGTCTTGAAATCCTGAATAAAACACCCAGGAACACGTTTCCATTTGCAGTGTTTCCCTTTCAGGTGGAACGGCCACCAGACAGAGGGGCTTTCTGGGCTGCATTCGGTCTCTGCAGTTGAACGGAATGTCCCTGGACCTGGAAGAAAGAGCTAAGGTGACGCCCGGAGTGGAGCCGGGTTGCAGAGGGCACTGCAGCAGCTACGGAAAATTGTGTCAAAACGGAGGGAAATGCAGAGAAAAGCTCAGTGGGTTCTCTTGTGACTGCACCCTCTCTGCATACACAGGGCCGTTCTGCTCCAGGGGTAAGTATGGCAGTGGCTGACCTGACAGGAAAACTCACCCAATCTGAAGAAAACATCCTGCGGTAATTTTCTGGGTAGCTGATTTGAAACAAAAATAGTTCCATGTCGGATTTTGGTTTTTTGCACATTACCTGTTTCATGCTAATCCCATTTCATTTCTTAAATATTTGCCTCAGTTCTTAAAAAAAAAAATTGTATCTATTAATAATAAAGCCTCTCAAGTTGCCTCTAGGTGTCCTAAAGCGTTGGCTGCTTAATCTGCTTTTTTCTGTCTAATGCTGATGCTCTGAGGTACTATGGCTGTCAGCAACCTGTCCCATGGGGCGGCTCTCTGTTTTAAAATCTCTAAAGGCATTATTGTTATTTTTGATGAAGATCATCAACCGTGAAAGGAGATTTAGGAGGGATTGCATTTTGGTTTCTGCCAAACAAATATTTTTTCCAAGAATAAAAATAACTTTTCCGTTAAATATGCACGTGTAACAAAAAAGAGATACTCAGGCATTTTGCTCTATGATGTGGCAACTATCTGTGACGTAAAATAGTGGGGTATTTTCAGTTTGTCTTGTTCGCAGACCTACGTCATGGAAGAAAGAAAGAACTGAGTGTAGTATTAAGTGTTCTGGACGGACTTCTCTGAATACACAGACATTCGTTATGCTTTCATAGTTGCTCCCAGGAAACTGCCATCATGTTTAATTCAGTTGCTTTATTTGAGTGTGTCTGAGCTCCTGAACCTTTTTCCTGAAGGAGGCTAACAAAAATTGCCTCCAAACTGAGGCAACTCCTGCTTTGCAAAGAAAGCATTTGGGATTATTTCATGAAAAATGGGTTAAAAGTCATCTACTTTTTATCAGAACCAAGTTATAATTTCAAGTCAACCTGTGATAATAACTCACACACCACTGCTATCATTCTAGGAGGCCGTTTACATTTTAAGTTAAGAGATGCCTGGGTGGCTTAGTGGGTTTAATGTCTGACTCTTGATCTTGGTCTTGATCTCAGTCACGTTTTGATCTCAGGGTCACGAGTTCTAAATAAAGTTAGAACAAAGACCACCTCTTCTGAAGAACTTGTCTTTACTTTCGGAGTCTAAATGATTTCTAGTTCAGCTTGCTAACTGCAATCAAGAATGCTACTCTGCATCTATGTATCGTATTGCATATAAAAAGTGTATTACAGAAATAAAAATAATAAAACAAGCAAATTAAAACACTCTTCAAGTGCCAGGGGAATGGAGATGTTGCTATATTACCCTGTGAGCATCATTTACAACTCACGTTCCACAACTGGTCCTTTATAGTAATGGAGAGAAGCAGAGTTCCAGGATCCAGCTCTAGTTATTCCTCCAGTATCCTCCTCATTTTCATACATGTATAAATAAATAGGTAGTGTGTGTGTGCATGCACATGCATGTGTGTGTGAATTTGTGATATTAATCTCATATAAGTAAAGTACTACACTTTTGTAAGACTAAAAGAGACTGGATAGTTCCTTATGTTGATCACTGCTGCCCATCTTATATTAACACTGGACTTAGCTTCTTTTCATAGGGCACAATAAATAGGGGAAAGTGTTTAGGCAAAAAAGAACATTTCTGCCTCTTGATCCTGGAAGGTAAGAAGACCCCTCAAGCTTCCTTCCTTCCTATTACAGGAAGACTAGTGCATTCTAGCTACAAAATAATAGATGGGACTAAAAATTTAAATAAGAAAATGGATGGTAAGGGAGATAAAAGCCAAGAAACCTGGTTTATGTCTGAAGTCAGAGAGGGGGATGTTATGCTTTCAATTATAAGGTTAACTAGCAAATTAATTACATATAATTCTAACATAAAGCCATTTCAAGGACAGTCATAAAAGCTCTATTAATTTCCTGTGGTCTTTAGTCCTGGCTTGGGGCTATTTGTTGTATCTATACAATTTGTTATTTTTAATTAGAAAATATCAATATAACTGAAACAAGATCCTTGTACTTAATTTTTTTAACATAAAATGTGCTATCATTTCAGAGATTTCTGCATATTTTGGATCTGGCTCATCTGTGATTTACAATTTTCAAGAAAATTATTCCCTAAGTAAAAATTCCAGCTCCCACGCTGCTTCATTTCATGGCGATATGAAACTGAGCAGAGAAATGATCAAATTTAGCTTTCGAACAACACAAGCACCAAGCTTACTGCTTTATGTGAGCTCCTTTTATAAAGAATACCTTTCAGTTATCATTGCCAAAAATGGTGAGTGCTTTTAGATGAGAGAGAGAGAAAATTGATTTAGAACATTAGATTAGTAATAATATGGATTGTTCTCATGTTCTTGCCTCTCAAACTACGAAGAAGAAAACCGTGCCTGTTTTTTGTATTCAATATTTTTAATACTATCCTATAAGTTTAATCTAGAAGGATTACTTAAAATTAAGATAGCTTTAGCTTATTATAACTTTGATAATTTTACATATTCAGTGTTAATTTTTTATTTAAATAAAATACTTATCATATTGTATTATTGCTAAAAGCTCTTTACTATTTCATATAATATCAATATCAATTTTGTGGGTCATTTTGAAAGAAGATACCTATTTGTATATAGTAAATATTTCCTTCAATTAAAAGTAGAGAAGTTTTGAGGGAATGTTAACAACTTAGCATTATATATAGGAAAAGGTCCCCAAAGTAATCTGTTGGTTCTAATGGTCAGCAATGAAATAGTCATGGAAAATGCTGGTACAGGGCAATGGCTTGTGGATTAGGACATGTGTATGTTACAGAAACCTTGTCACAGAAAACCACTTGGCTGATGTTTTTTCTCCTCCCTATATCCAGATTAAAGATAAAAATTCTGTAGATAAATTATTTGAGTGAGGAAAGTAAATTTATAAACTTGAATTATCATTTCAACTCAAATAAATATGGCCCAAGGGCACTGAACTCTAAAATAAAAATAATATTGATTAATAAGTATATTTACCTTCCCTGTGTATCTTTTGAGCTTGAAGCTTATCTATACATTAGGATATTTTCTTTGCTAAATTGGAGATACCTTGTGAAATAAATTAAATTGGCATCTTTGCAGGCAGCTAAGTGAGTAGTATTAATTCTCATGGTAAGTTTGGCTAAAAACCATTCATTTCATCCTAATTTCATTCCAAAGTCTATGACTGTGACCATGTGGAAATATTTTTCATCTTTAGTAAAACTCTATTCGCTTATAAAAATTCCATTAGTCAGCTGCATTTTAGGAGTGGCAGATGTATTTTTTCAAAGGTGAGATTATGGAAGCACATTAATGCAATATTCCACAATAGTATACTAAGGTGTGTTTTTTTAAGTTAGAGACTAGTATAGAGATTTGGTTATGCTTAACGCATATTTGACTTCTAGGGGAAAAATGAAAGATTTGCAGGAAAGACTGCTTACTGGCAACATGCTTGGTCTTGATCTTGAAAACAGGGCAGTTTGACACAGAAGCTGACTTCTAGGAATTACGAGGAAAGGAGACCTCCAATAAGCTACTGTGAATTTTCCACCTGAAATTAATAGCTAAAAAGAGTACTCTGAGTTTTTATAAGTAGCTCTTAAACTACACTTTTAACTACAAATATATTTTCTCTTCCCTACTCTAGGAAGTTTGCAGATCAGGTACAAGCTAAATAGATATCAAGAACCTGATGTCGTTAACTTTGATTTCAAAAACATGGCGGATGGGCAGCTTCACCACGTAGAGATTAACAGAGAAGAAGGCGTGGTCTTTGTAGAGGTAATATAATACATTCAACAGAAGCAGTGGTTACAGTTACGATTCCCCAGCATGAAGGACCGTCGGCAGAATTATGATAATGAATAGACTGAAGACATCCTTCCAGTGCTGCTCTTGCACAGACCATCGACAGACTGCCAAATGGGGTCTAGTTTTTGAAAGGATAAAGGTTCTGTCCAAGATATTATTACTATTTGATACCCCAAATGCCAGCCTTTCCTCATTTGTTTTACGTCGCTCAGGAGGGAAAGCTGTCTCTTTTATCGTACATACTAGTAGTAGGAGTATTGCTACTCCCATGAAACCAAGGGAATTGCTCACTCTACCAGCTTTTGAAGAAAAGCACGAATGTTGTGGCCCTCTACATAGAGGAAAATGTCTTAGCTGAATGACTCAAGTGAAAATACCGACCTAGTTACGTAAAGGTATCAAGGTGAAAATAACTCGCATCTTTCTTTTTTCTTTTCTTTTCTTTTTTTTTTTTTTTTTAGCTTTACCAATTTTGGATTTCTCATACAGTGGAGAAAATTAAAATGATATAAGGGGATAGAAGGTGGGGTGCACTGGTATCTGAGGGTAGAATAGAAGGTTTAGAAAATATCATTCACCTTTGTAAATGGCTCTTTAAAATTTGTTTTTCTAAATCTTGGGGGCCATACTAACAATTGCCTGTTTTATCATTTTCTTTTGTCTTCCTTGGCTTTCTGTCATCTTCCCAACAAAATGGCATCCATCTGGCTGTTTGCACCTCATATAACAATGCTATAGATTGACGAGAATGCAAAGAGACAAGTCCACCTGTCATCAGGTACAGAATTCAGTGCCGTCAGGTCTCTTGTACTGGGCAGGATTTTAGGTAAGTAAAGGCACGACCTTCCCCTAATCGTGACGCATAAAGATCAGAAGAGTCCTATTCCAAACATGCACACAGGCCACACACAAATTCATCATGCCAAAAGGAATCTCCTGTTTTATTTTAAGTACGAAATGAGTGATAATCAAGGCAGAAACCATACCTTCTCAGGGGTTAGGTAACCATGTGCAGGGACTTCCTGCTGAGCAAGCATGGTCCTTTGATAGTAATGTCACTGTGGTCTCTGCATAATGAAACATGATTTTGTTCTCACACTTCAAAAATATCAAACGGTAAAAGTAGAAGTAACAGACTGTATCAATCAGCTGCCAAATACACAGGCTGTCCTCTAATGATCAAACCAGGACTAGGCCTAAGAGAGAAGGGAGGGAAGAGCAATAGCTTTTCTTCAAGGTTTGTGAATCTGCTTTAGGTTCTGGCTTGGATCCTGTTTGCCTTGTTGAAAGGTGGCAGTGGCTTGCCACTCTTGCTGGAACCCAGTGTTAAATGTCATATGATTATTATTTATATCCACCAAGCACTTCTGATAGTAGCACTCAAGTAGAAACATATTCTTGCCATTTAACATCCAAGTATACGTACATTTTTTTTTATTCTTATGTTAATCCCCATACATTACATCATTAGTTTTAGATGAAGTGTTCCATGATTCATTGTTTGTGCATAACACCCA